TTTCATGAGATTTGAGCTCCTGAAAATGTTTTCTGGAAACTCTGTGGGATCTAAGGCAAGCCCACCTCCCACTGGGGCTCAAAGGCAGCACCTACAGCTGCTCCCCACTCATTAATGGGTTGCCAGGCAACAGAACAAAGGTGAGGCTAAGGCTGGGATTAGCAATCGGCAGGGATCTGAGAGTGAAGTGCTGAGGCATCCTGAGGGGAATGTTCTCATCAGGAGAGACTACAGGAAGCAGGTGCAAGGGAGCCCTGGTGTGGCTGGGGCACTGGTTTGCAGGTAGAGGAGCCCAGCTTGGCCCTGTGACACATGCATGTTGTAACTTGCCTTCTAACAGCATTGGGGATTATTTTTCTCAGAAGGACCAATGAAAACCCATGAGGGACATTTCTTAATGAGCTATAGATATAAAATAACTTATTAGGTTCATCACATCTACTTTTGGAAAACACTTTTTGGTTTTATAAAATATATATTGACACTTGAAAATTTCAGAAATACAAAAAAGGATTTAATTCTATGTCCCCTTGAAGGAAATCTGATTACTCAGGAAAACAAACAAACACACAAACCAACAAACAAAAATAGGATCATCTTATATATACCTGTATTCTAAGAATATTTTACTACCTATAGAAGACATTTCTGCAACAAGATTTTTAGTTCTGTACTTTTCAAAAATCATTGAAATTTGTTGTGAGGATGTATCATATTATACTCTTGTTATGATTGGCAGTGCTGCCACAGAAATCCTTATACATATATCTTTATTCCTCCTTTGTATCATTCAGATTTTTCTACTAATCATAGTCCATGAGATAAGCTGAAATTTTTACCAATGATAGAATTATAGTGTTTTATTTAATAGGAAACTATACAACTTCCTAAAACATTAATGGAACAACTGTATACAAATTAAAAACCAAAGACATCAGGAACAGTGCAAGCCTGTAATCCCAGCACTTCTTATTTTGGAAATTAGGAAACAATCACATTAGTGAGGTAGACTGACTGAATCTGAGGTAATTCATATTTAAAGTTTAGCTATGGATTGTGGGTTTCTACCTAGAAGGGCTGTTTATAGTTCTACCAAGAGTATATGAATGCCCATTGCCACAAGCGCTTCCCAAATCCTACCATTTCAGTCCTTTGCTATTTCTAAAAAAGTTCCATTGCTTCAATTTTTCATTCTTTGGATCAATTTCTTTGGGCCTTTCCTCAAACGTTTATCTTCTCTTTGTATTTCTCTAAGACTTGCCTGTTTCTTTGCTCATCTGTTCATCCATTTTTCTTACTGAAAAAAGCTATTTATATATTCTTTTTCCAGTTTTTTCTCCCACAGTACCATGAAGAATTTGTGTGTGTCTATTGTTTGTGTGTGTTTGAGACAAGGTCTCACCATGTAGCTCAGTCTGTCCTTGAACTTACTGTGTAGTTCAGGTTGGCTTCAAACTCATGGTAATCCTTCTAACTCAGCCTGCTGAGTGCTGGGATTACAGGCTTGCACCACCGTGCCTGATGTTTTTGGTTTTTAATTTGTATAGTCGTTCCATTGTTTTAGGAAGGTGTATAGTTTCCTCTTAAAACATTATAATTCCATCATTGATAAAAATTTGTGTATCTCATGGACTATAATTAGTAGAAAAACCTGAATGATAAAAAGGAGGAGTAAAGCAGAAAGGAAGCGATGAGAACTTAAAAGATAGGTATCTTCATTGGGCTTATAAAACTCCTGTTATTAAGGGACTAATGCTTACTCTTAAATTTTACTGTAACATTGGGATCACTAGGAGGTTTGTTTAAAAGCAAATTTGGGTCTCTGGGTAGAGGCCAGCCTGAAATGGTGCATTTTGGACCAGCTCCCAGGTGAGGCTGATGCCCATGGGCCGGTGGGCTCAGCTGTTATCCTAATTCTACTTGCTTGGGAGTTTTCTTCTCTTTAGTTCACCAGGGGAAACCTTAACCTCTTATTTTGGAAATTAGGCAACAATCACCTATCTTAAAAGAAGAACAATTCAGCTTTCATGGAGTAACATCCTTCCAGTTCACAGCCTTTTAGAATATGTGGTTAAAGATTTTTGAAGTCCAGTGTATAAGTACAATATGTTCATTTCTTGAGGCCTAGCTGCACTGGGTGAAACTGAGGCGAATGAGTAATTGGTCTTTTGCACAGAAATATTCTAGTCCTGCCCTGGCTAGCTCCCCTCCCTCAGCATTATAAAAGGGTTTCATTACTATTATATTATTATTATTATTATTATTATTATTTTGAGAAAGAACAGCTTTGCCTAAGTACACTCCTCAGACAGATCCTCTAAAAGGCAGCATAGCTAGGTGGGGGCAGTCAAGGATGGGGTGATCAAAGACTGGGAGTTTGGGCAGCTAGATAGATCCTTATTGTGGCTTCAACACATTTGGTTTGCATACATTAAACTTTCCTGGCTTCATTTCGTCTACTGCAGAATGGAGATGGTAATACAGCCTTATTTCCCTAGGATGATATTGGAATAAAAAATTTCCCCGAGGCATCTCTAGACCATCTCTAGTAGCAGTGATGTCATCAATCTCTTCTAACCTACCATATACCAAGCCAGCTTTTCAGTTTCCAAGTAACTTTCCATGAAGTTTTCTGCTAACTGCAAAATAAATCACAGCAAGAGAAGCCTTGGACATTTTTGGAGTGTTCTAAGTCAAGCAGCTGCCTGAATCATATTCATTCCTGTACACAGGCATATGCTGCTATCTGAAAGGAATAGTTAAGTGTGAGCCAAACAGAACCGGTGGGTGGAGTGAAGGTGGTTCCCTACAAGCACTAGGGAAAAAGACTAGCACCGAAGCTACTGTTAGTATTAGTGAATTAACTCACTTTCTCAAGACAATCTTGGGAGATGGGAAATATTCCTAACTTTTCCCAGGAACTTAGAGCCAGCAACTTACCAAAATGTCACAATATGAGAGAAAAGGGTTAAGATCTCCAAGCCCCAATAGGCAAACTGTACTATAATCCTTCCAACTTCCACTCCCATTTCTGAGCAAAGAGAGGTGCTTAGAATAGAAAGGGCAGTAGTTCAGCTCCTGATCTTGGGCAAATCACTACACCTCTGCAACCCTCAGTTTCCTCACCAGTCAGTCGGTGCTTGTGACAGGGTCCTACTGCACTCAGCTGCCCCACAGTAAGTGCTCAACACACAGTAGGTATTGCTACTTTTCTCTCCTAGACTTTCATGTATTCTTGAAGTACATATAACTGGCAACAGGAAAATAAAAGCTCCTCCCCTCCCCCGGTCCCATATATATGTCCAGAGGCTACTGGGCCTCTAGACACTGCCCACTGGGGAGCCCTCACTAAATTCTCAGAACAGGGCATGTTGGGGGTGTGTTTAGACCTTTTGCTCCTTCAAGCACAGAGCTGGAAGGGCTGAGATAGGGGTGGGGTTAGCTAGAGGTAGCTCCTCACTCATCTCCTGTTAGCTGCTGCCCAGGCCTCAGTTTCCCCACATGTCCTTCAGGATTAGGGCATGTGGAGAGAGCCTGAAACAGCTGGCTGTACCACGGGTTCTAGGCAAACTGGAGCTAGCTCCCACTCACAGACCTCTTGGCTGCAGTGAACTGTTCCCTACCCTCCCGCTTGGGAGAATGAACCAGATTTTACCAGTAAGTCAGCGTGGAGTGCTATCTCGGAGCCAGCACCCTGCAGCAACCCTGGTCTTCCGACACCGGTGACCTCACTCAGTCACCATCAACGCCCCCAGGCTTCTCCCAGCCAACTCCCAGCAGTGTCAGATTCTGTCACCTTCCAGCCCTCCTCCCAAGAAAATGCTTCCCTCTCAGCTGCAGAGCGCTTAGTTCACCCCATAAACTCCGCTAATGCTTACCACATGCTGCCTAGAGTCCTAGCTCACCCCCACGCCCGCGGACTTCCCGGGCCCATCATGAGAGCCCATCCCCTGCAGGCGCTTTCCCCGGATCCGCCCTCCCCCGAGCTGGAGGGGGCCCGGTGCTGGGGTTCTCCATCCAAACGTGACCTTGGAAGTCTTCCCAAAGCCGCGTCCACTCGTCTGAGCGGGAGGCGGGTTTGCACATAGGGAGCCTCTTGTTGCCACGAATTAAAAACCCGTTCGCGCCTGTTTGCAATTAGAGTAACTTGGCTCGTAGCCACCCAGGCTGGGAGCCCCCGATGGGCGCAGGGCGGCTCCTGGGTCGCGTGTCTACCTGCCCTGGGGCGAGGTCCCTACAGCGCCCTGCGCGTCCCGCTGCACCTGGGCCCGCCCCCACCTGTCCCTCTGCACCTGGGCCCGCCCCACCTGGACGCCGCCCCGCAGCAAGGCTCTAGTAAGCTGCGCCTCCTTGCCCGCGAACCCTCAGGGGAAGCGCGTGCCGGAGACGCCGCCGCCTGCAGTGCCCGCCGCGGGTCCCTAGAGGGCGCAGCCGGCGCGGGAAGCCGCCGAAGCCAAGCGCCAGGGTAGGCGCGAAATTGCAGGCGGGCGGGCGCGGCGAGTTTGAAAACAAGCGAGCGCGGAGGGGGCGGGTCCCGGGCGCGGAGCCACCTCCCTCGTCCAATCAGCGGCGGCCGGGGGGCGCTGGCGGCGCGTGCGGCCGGGCTGTGAATGGGGCGCGGTGGCCGCGGCGAGAGCCGGCGCGCGGGCGGGCGCACTTTCTCCTCAGCGCCCGGCGCGGGCGGTGGCGACAGAGGCTCCTCAGCGCCTCCGACCCCTCAGTGAGCGCTGCGAGACCGGCTTTCGGCCGCGGGGACTGAGGCGGCGGCGGACGTTTCCTCGCCGACAACTTCTCGGCCCCTCACGCGGGGCCCGGACGCCGCCCCTCAGCCCGGGGCGCGCTCCCGCGTTAGGCGGCCGCCCCGCGTCCTCTGCCCGTCCCGCGGCGCCGGGTG